CCCGATGGAGGGTGACCCTAAAAATAAATGAGTGTGCTGTACTCAAAGACACATTTCTATTAATTTTTCATTTCATTATTTTTGGCAGGCCACCTGACAGACAGGAAATGCAGGGATCCTGATTCTACCTTCAGCCAGCATTCATCAGAACAGATGAATACTGTATCGTTTCTTTTATTAATTCCTGCTCAAAATAATAAGAATTACTCTTTTATTTAAGTAAAAATACCAGTAAAACTGTGTAAGTAACTACTGCAAGTTCACATGTGTTACGTTTAAGAAAAATAAGGAAAGCAATGTACAAAAGAAGGTACACATGGAAATAAGGTGCAAAATTGCTGGTATTTAAGATAAGAAAATAACAATAATAAGCATATATAATTATACTGGTGTATTAGAGTTTTGCTGCAGTAGCTGGTTCAGATGGAACTAGCTTTGTCCAGGGATCTCCACCCTAAGGCCCTTCTAGAGAGCCACAAGTCAAATCAGAGGGGACGTGAGATGGTAACTTTCGCAGAAAAGAAGAAAGCCTGAGTTGTGCGATGTATATCTATTTTAATTTGTTGGATTTTTTCTGAATATTTGCTTTTTTTGTTAAGTATTGAACAATTTTACCTATTCAGGCCTCCATCAGTTACATAAATGAGTAAAGTTCTCACTCAAAGCTATAAAAAGTGCAATTTTCCTTCATGAAATGTAGCAGAGCAGAAGTTGAACAGCTTTAAATGTGAAAACCAGAGTGTTGGACTCTGTTCATTATGAGAATATCCTTCATCTGATCAATAACAAGCTGCTGCAAGTCTAAACATCCAACTCTGTAATAGAGAAATCTGATTGATCATACAGGGGATGTGAGCATTTTCCACAGAAAATAATCCTGATGTTATTTTTTTCTGAGTAGCACCACTGTTCCTACTGAAAGTTGGAAACATTTAATGTTCCCTCCCTGCCCTTTGGTAACAGCCATCTCCAGTCTGCTCTAACAGAGCCGTAAAACTAATAGTACCAGTATTACATAAGAGATTATCTTAACTGTTCTTATCTTTTCTGTGGCTCGGCTTGTAGAAAATCCAATTCAACCATGGGGGGAAAAAAAGAAAAAGAAAACCAATCTCTTATGTGGTCTTATACAGCAAATGCCGTGTGTGTCACAGTGGAAACAGACTCATCAAGACTCCGGCTACTGAAGCTGTCGGCCTACAGTGTGTCCTCGTGTTGCGTCAGCACTTCTGTAACTTTAGGTGAGGGTTGGAGGGGGGTATGTCGGTAATATGACCTTGTTTTGCTGCACGGCAGTCAAGGCACACCGTCGCACACCTCCACCGACAGCAATTGTGAGAATCTGACGGATGCCCCGCCTTCCAAACGGCTTCGACAATAACAATTCCTCGTCGCAGCCCGAAAAGAGTTTAGAACGTAGAGCTGAACAAGGACTCCCTGCCACACAGCTATTGATAATTAGGATCCATAATTTATGACTCATACCTTGCATTGGCATTGAGCGTTCTGCAGAGTAAAGCTTCCCCTCCAGTCATGCTGCTCTCTTTCAGGCAACAACACTTGTTAAAGGAGGTTTTTCTTGAGCTTTCAACACTTGATCTCACACCTATACCTGCTTACACTGAAACATGTCTGCGGCGCCGTGTGACCTGCTGTGTGAGGGAGGAGCAGATGCTTCCTCTTCCATATGTGATCATTAATGCACAGAGCTGGGTTTATTTTAGAGGCGTTCGTTCCCAACCTTTTGGGGGTGGGAACCGTTTAAAGAGAAGAAATAATTATCTCCATTTATAGAATAGAATAGAATAGAATAGAATACTTTTTTATTGCTCTCCCATTGGGGCAAATTTACACGCCACAGCAGCATCCAAAAATATATGAAGTACAAAAAAATAACAATAATTAAGTAATATGCGTCCCAGTGTCGGCACACAGCAGGTCCAAGGCCCCACCGTCTCCGGTTGGGCAGTCCGCATGCTGGCTGAATGTGGGGAGAGCGGTAGAGAGCAATGTATGATTAAAGTCTCCTGAGATGACGATCAGAGACTGAGGGTGTGATGTTTGGGACACTGAACTATGGATGAGTTCACAGGCTGCAGCAGCATCAGCCGAGGGGGGGATGTATTTATATCATATAGATGTATCAGTTTGATGAGGTTTTATTGCAAAACTGTGCAGAATTTCTGAATAAAAGCAAAGATTAGAGAAAAGGATGTGAAATGTTCATCTTGTAAATCATCTGGTAACCCCTCAGACTGATCTAGGATCCCCTTAAGGGCAATTATTTTGTGTTTTTCTGTCCCTAGGCCTCTTAGATCATCCTCACAGTCGCCGACGGGACTTTTGGCTCTGAAACAGCCCCTTATTCTACATTTTAGATCCTGTCCCACCATGATCAAATTTATAGGATCACCTTTATTCTCATTGCTTTTAGTTCTTTGTGAAGCTGCTCTAGTCGTGTCTACTCTTTTTATCACTCTGCTGTTATGTATTGATCAGTGGCTTGATTTCAAACATTTTTATCTTTTTTGTTTTTATAGTTCTGCTTCTTTTTTTAATGTAGCTCATATTTTTTAGCTTAGCTATCCTCTCCATATGACTGTCTTCACATATAGTCACTCTTATCATTCCCTCCATGCATTTACTTGCACTTTTGCATGTTACTAACATTGTGTTTTCTCTCCTCTGCATTCAGCCTCTTGCTAAGTGCACCTCCCTGCAGGTATGTCTGGCATGTTTCTGATCTGCAGCCACTTGTGTAACCAATCTGTCCAGCGTTTTTGTCCTCTTGTTTGTCTCTGCTAACTTTTTTCTGTCTCTCGCTTTAACCTCACCCCAACCAGTCGCGGCAGAAGTCTGTCCTCCCTGAGCCTGGTTTTTCACAGTTACAGATAACTCTGCTATAAGGAAACCTTTGGATTCTTTGGGTTTTCAGTGTATATCTTTGTAGGTCTTAAGTTTTAATCTAGTCAGGCAAATCTCCATAATTAATGATGCTGTAGGGTCTTAACCTAAATATAGTCAAGTAGATTTGCATTTTGTGTCATTTTGTGCAGTTTTCCCCATAAATTCCCATCATGAATCACACTGTAGAGTCTTAACCATAATATTTAAACTCATTGGGCAAATCTGAATCACCAGTCGTGGTTCTTTATTGGAAAACACTTTGGCTTTTGTGTTGTCTTGAATGTGCTGTGTAAAAAAATGATGACTTGACTATTTAAGAGGAACACTAACAGACAAGCGAAGCACTAAATCTGACCAATAAGTGCAAATGCTTCCACACAAGAGGGTTCACTGAGGGGTTTCGTGTGAATTCATATGCTACGGCCTTCACAGTCACCGCATGTGAACCTGGCACCTGGGAGATTTTGGAGTGACGATCATCTAAGGAAACAATGAGGGAATAGAGTTTGGAAAAAATGGTTTTTACCCCCCTAGAGGTCAAGAGAGGTTACATGTGGAGGAGCATATATGCATCATGATGCTATTTCTTTACTATGCACCTCCATCTGTATTTAACATAAATGGACCTGAGAGGTTTGCTAAGTCCCAACTGAGCCAAAGCTGATCACAAAAAGAAGGTGTTCCAGACAGAAACAGAAAGATCTTTGATTCTTTTTGGGCACATTTTTAGATTTTCTTTGATTTTCAGGCAGGAGCATGACAGTCTCCCAAAAAAAAAAAAAAAAAAAAAAAGGGAGGGGAGGAAAAAAAAAAAAAAAAAAAAAAAAAAAAAAAAAAAAAAAAAAAAAAAAAAAAAAAAAAAAGGGAGGGGAGGGGAGACAGACAGACATAGGCGTCGAGACAAAATAGAGAGAGAAAAAATGAGACAAATTCTGCTGGAAGATTGGTAAAATATGCTCCTGCAATCTCTCAAATGATAGATCACCTACATGTTTATCATCCAGTAGCCTGACGCAGCAGCAAGCAGCAGCAGCAGCAGGAGGAGGAGGAATGAGCGGTGTGTTATTTGGGTGAGATCTGAGCTCATGTCGAGCCAGCCAGAAGCAGCACAGGGCGTTATGAATCCCTCTGTGGTCATGCATGTAGGGGGAGAAAAAAAAAAAACACAGAGAGGGGGAGTGAATCTGAGAAGGCAGCAGTCTTATCAGCGGTGACCATGTGTGCGCAGTGGGCAGCAGTGATGGAGCCGCATCCTCTCGCTCGGCCGTCGAGGAAAAGAAAAAGAAAAAAAAAAAAACTGTATTGTATGTGTCGCCACACCCTTCACATAAAGCACCAGACACGCAAAAAAAAAAAAAAAGCGTTTCTATGTCGGCGACAGCGACATGACAACAGCCCGAGGGCTATGAGGGTGAGCCACGGATGAGTCACACGCCACCCCCCTGTTTTATTAGCAGCATAAATAGCTGGAGGGTGCCGATATTTGATATGAAGGGGGGTTCTTGCCCAAAAAAAAAAATAAAAAAATTGTAGATGAATGGATGAGGATGGGTTGCACGTGGGGGCCAGTTTTAGGGTATTTAAAGATGTGGACGCGGCGCTCTTCTTCTTGTCAATGCGCATGATACTGCGGCTCCACTACTACGGCACGCTCCAACTCACCTTGAATCGGCGCACTGGCCGCGCTCCTGTCATTCGGGGTGCGGGTGCGTACGGAGGACCAATACACGCCCCAAAGCCTCCGTCGGCAGCCAATCGGATGGCGGCAGAGGCGGACCTGTGGCTGCATTCTCACACTTGGTTTCACTATGCGCTCGTAAAAAAAAAAAAAAAAAAACGGGCTCCGTCTACTACAAACGCGGCGGTGCAGGTGCTCTGTCTCTTCGGGAGAGAGGATGCGGATGGAAGGACGGGGGAGGGAAGGGATGAAGGGAAACGCCACGAGGAAAGAGAATAGGATATGATAGGAACAAAAAGGGGGGGCTTTATTTTTTTTTTGGAAAGCCAAGAGAGACCGTGAGGTGCAAGGTCGAATATGAGAGATTGGTTGAACGGGGCACTTTGCGTGGTAATAGCTGGTCGGCAATAGTACTATGATTTGGTATGTGGCCACTCTGATAGCAAGTGTATTCAGCACCAGAGGAACGGCCGCTCAAGGTGAGTTGAAGTGCAATATATGTTGTGCCGCACATCGCTTATGATTTGTGCTGTCTTCTGCGTGTGCGCTTTGGTGCTGCTTTTTTTTTTTTTTTTTTTTTTGCAATCGCATGGCTTTTTTTTTTTTCCTGGTCATATGAACTGTGAGGGCAATTTCATTCTAACAAATGGCTGCATATCTAACGTGTCACGTGAAAGTTCAGTTCAATCGCATCAGGAGGAAACAAAAAAATGTCATTTTTTAAAAATAATAATAATAAAAGAAAAAAATGGCCAGGCTCACATACATGCATGATGTCTGCAATGGGATAATTCACATGCCAAGTGAGGAGAGATCCAGGCAGAAGATAGCTGGATTTAATGAGCCGGTGTGTCTGTAAAGGCTTCATTTGTGAGATTAGAAAGCAAACATTTTATTTTTATTTTTTTTTAAAGGGGGAGATAAGGTCCCCCCCTTCGCTGCTGGTTTGGAGATGAAGAAGGTGGGGGGAGGAGGAGGAGGAGAAGAAATGTGTGCATTGTATCATAGCAAGCAGGTCCCATTTGAGTTCTCCAGAGAGGGGTGTGACCGTCTCAGCCCTCAAGATGGAAAAGTAACTAAATAATGCATCACGTGTCAGATAAAATGCACTCTTGAATTTGATAAAGCCCTACGCTGCTGCATGCAAGGGGGGGATTCATATGCTGGATTTCACCCTCTGCACATGATCAGAGGGGTCACAGTGCATGCTGGGATGCACCGAGCCCCTCCAGGCTGCCAGGCTCACCTAGTGCTGATCCAGGAGGGTCACAAACTAGTCCTTCCTGCAGCCACAAACTGCACAATATCCCTTTTGTTCCTATTTTTTCCTGAGCACTTCTGTATTGACCCATGTACTTACTTAACCTTGCTTTTCCACTTGTGTCCAGATGAGGGAGACATGTGCCAAGCTGTCGCCTGGTAAATGATCCCAATGACCCCACATATACCCAGTCAAAACTGGTCTGCTCGCAGGTCTGGCTCCTCCTGTGATGCCGGTCGAGGCCGACATAAGCTCACTATGAAAACTTGCACTAATGCAGCGAAACAACGTTTGATTTAGGAACAGAAGAACCTCTCGGGGGTGTCATTTTTTAAAGCACAAATTATCCACCTCATGCGGGCGTAGATGTGGCTTAATATTATCGATTGTAAGGTGTTGTCTGGTATCGGCACTGCAATGAAGGTGATTTAAGTCTTTACAAGCTGCACCAGAGAGTCACAAATCACAATATAGCCTATTAGTAATTACAAATGAGAGCTGGTCCACTTCCTATATTACAGTGTCCCAGAATATACTGTGTGTTTTGATTTCAGCTTTGGCACTGCACAGAATCCTTTAAAAAGCAGGATGACACCAGCTGTGTTATATGTATGCAACACTATTACTAAAGATAAAGACAGAATATGTCATTAGAGTTTGATGTTTTCTGATGATACATATGCAGTTTTGATGTCATAGATACTGAATGTCTGAGAGAAGGACAACAGACATGTGCTAAGTACCAGAAAAAGTAAAGTACATTTGAAAATAATTAGCGCTATGTCAAAATATTAGGATTAAATATGTACTATGGAGGCACAAGTAGCTCAGTTTACATACTAGTTTCATGTCTGTTAAGCACAAAGCCACAACCTGCAGCTAATTAGCTTAGCTTAGCATAAACACTGCACATGGGAAGAAGCAGCTGGCCTGGCCCAAAAATCTGGCGAGCAGCAGCTTAAAGCTCTTTTATCCATACAAGACAAGTTTTTTTTGTTGTTTTGTTTTTGGCTGCTCTCACTGCAGAGGTTAAAGAAACAAAGTGTGACAGGATTTTATTAAGCTTTGGAGTAGTAGGTGTATTTTGTTGCTTTTTGATAGAGCCATGCTAACTGTTTCCCCCTGTTGAAATGCTATGCTAAGCTAACGGCTTTGCCTTCATAGCTGCTGTTTAGACATGACATTGTGGAATTGATTTTCTCACCAGAAAGTGTGTTTCTGAAAAAGCGGCACTATTCCTTTAAATAAGCATCCGTCTTTATTCTCGAAGCTGAGACCATGTGCTTTCCTGCTGAACCTTACGGCTTATCATATATCTAACATATACTAACAGAACTTTGGTCCACCTCTGATTTTAGTTTAGATTTTTTAGTTGATTTAATCTTGGTAATTTCCTCCATTCATGAGAACTGCAGGTCAGATTTTTAAGTTTCAACAGACAAAAATTAAAATGGATTGTCTAAAACTGACTGACTCCAAAACAAAGAGAGGGAACATTTTGGATTAAGGCAGCTCAGTTGACTCCTTTTTCATTTCTCCTCTTGATAATTACGTTTCAAATTGGCTAAAATATCCTGGTATTGCACCATGAAAATCACTATAATGATATGTTTACTTAAAATGAACTTGATCAGGACATTGCTGTCTGTATTCTTAAAATTAGAAACATACAACCAGAAACACTACGATGTTATGGATTGTAAGTTTTAATTATTGATACCACAAAAGATGGACGTAGTCTCCAGGTTTGAAAAGTAAAGGGTGGGACGACTTTTTGTATAGTAGGTCTTAAAATGGTGTTTTAAGTGGAAGGATAAGCAGCGTGTCAACATAATTCAACCAAAATGCCACCTAGGTTTACTGCACCCTCCCTTTAAATGATGACCGACCAAACTTGTCCATCTTTGACGCGCAGTTGGCCAAAGAATTTGTGTTGCATTGTGTCTGTGCAGGAGTTGTATTGTGAGCAGCATGTTTGCAGAACAACAGCAGAAACTTCAGACTTCGGTGTCTGCACAATGTGTTCAGGCACCATATTGTGTTTTTCTGGCAGTGTTCGGAGCTCAGCGCAACAATACTGAATAACTACAAAGTGCAAAAATATGCTTAGTTACTCGCATACGGTGCTACTAAAATGTGCTGCTTCGTACCCTTTGTAGAAAGATGTATCTGTTGTGTCAGACGCCTGTCATATGCGGCGGAACGTCTCCCGTGTAGATACAACTCTGGGGTTTTTTTTGTTGTTGTTTTGCGAGTGTTCGTGGCAAAAATATGGATTTGCACCTGAAAGGAACACCGTATTTGCTTGTGATAGCTGCAGTGTGCGCGGGGTTGTCGGGCCAAACAGTACTGGGTTATAAAAAGTAACCCCCGATTCATTTAGTGAATCCGCTGCTTGTCATGCTGTTGCATACGACTGCAAAAGATTTGAACCTGTGCAAGCAGGCGCGCATTCCTGGAGGATTACTTTGTAATGTAATCTTCAAGGCTTGCAAAGCCCTTCCTTATAGTATTTTAAACCCCTGTGCAGTGATTGTAGGCGTTTGTTTCATAAGACTTAAAACTGACAGATCTATTACTCAAACTGACCTTACTTAAACTTATTTCATCATCTCACCGCTGCCTGAAACAACACGCCCCCATCAATGCAGCATAAAAATGGGGCTGCTTAAACTTGAGGTAAACAGCATTGTTTGTCTTCACCTTGTCAATAATCTCATGAATTTGTCACTATCGGTGTCTGTTAACTGTTGTATTAACCTGCATATGGGTGTTTGATCAGATAATGAGTTTAGCTTTAATGCTGGGAAGTATGTTACAACTTTCTGAAGTAAATGTTGGTGTAACAATTAATACAGTTTCTAGGAAAATGTCATTGACTAGATGGACAGAATATTTCAGGTACAGTATGAGCGATTAGTCCCAGTAAACAGACATTCAACGAAGTTTTATTGTGCCTCATGCCCGTCAGGGAGACAGCATATGGTCAGGGAGACCTGAGGTTAGTTCAACAAAGTCAACGGTGACTTGGCATCCAATCAAGGTGAAACAAAAGGGACGCTGACGGCAATATAGAAGTAATTAAATGTCATTGGCAAGTGTCGGGGAGTGGTCTATTTGAAGGACTATTTTCAGCCAGAGTCACTGATGGCAGACCGACTCTCCTCTCAGGTCCTGTGCTGGGACTTGGTATTTTTTAAGCGTTTGTCAAGCTGGCTTTAGGCCAGATGGTATTCATCTGTAATTCCCTTCTTGTGAGCCGCCTCCTTGATGTTTCACAGGATCTGGAGCTCCCTCGTGAGCCGTGCCTTGGCATACTTGTTTCTGAAAGAAAGGAGATATATAGAAGCAGACAGGATATGTGAAGGTGTCAGAAATGTCACTCACATATCTGAGGCCTCCCAGTAGCACCGAGGCGTCGTCTGAAAGCCCTCCTACTGCTTCTGTGGGTGCAGCTTCAGATTGTGATTCAGATAAATGGGTCTGTCTTTGGTTTTTGTCTGGATCCTTGGAACCGTCTGGGACATGAAGTGAGGCTGCTTTTCATGAGATGGTTGGGAAAATGTTTTGACAGCACAGTTTTAATTTGTCTGACATCTCCAGTGTTTCAAAAGTTTTAATGATATGGATAGGAGACGTGAATGTCTTTCCTTTATACTGGTGCTGCAGTGCAGTTTAACAGCGTTTTATGTGATGACTGCTTTTCTGTGTTTGATAAAAAGTGGATTGCAAAACTGCAACAATAGAAATTTTAGTTTTTGTGAAAGATCTACTTTTTTTTTTTTTTTTTTTAGCACAATTGGAACTAAGTTTAAGTGGAATTTCTTTATGATTTTGACATTTCATGCCTTGCTGTTTGGCCTTCGACACCTATGAGACGTAGTCACAGTTATAGTGTGGTTATTAACACTATTTAAATGCAGCTAATTATTACAGAAAAATGCTTATGGATTTGACGCAAATCTATCTGTGGTTCCTTCTTTTCATTTTTTAATCCAAAAACCAAAATCAGAAAATTAAATGAACAACCTGTATGTTGTTTCATTATTCATGTGTGAATGTAACATAGAAATACAAATGGCTGCTTGTTTTTCACACTTAGGATTTTGTACAGAGTTTTGCTATTTTTGTCCGATCGATCAGATAGTTGTGGACGTCTTCATGTGTTGTATTTGATAATCACGCAGCTGGAAAGGCGGAAAAACCAAAATGACATTG